GTCGAGGCAGCAATTAAGAGCCTACCACACAAAAAAAGCCCAGGTCCAGACGGGTTCACAGCCGAATTCTACCGGACACACAAAGAGGAGCTGGTACCATTCCTTCTGAAACTATTCCAAATAACCCAAAAAGAGGGAATCCTTCCCAAATCATTTTATGAGACCAACATCATTCTGATACCAAAACTCGGTAGAGACCCAACAAGAAAAGAAAACTTCCGGCCAATATCCATGATAAACATAGATGCAAAAATCTTCAATAAAATATTGGCAAGCCGAATGCAACAGCAAATCAAAAAACTTATTCACCATGATCAAGTAGGATTCATCCCGGGGATGCAAGGCTGGTTCAACATACGCAAGTCTATCAACGTAATTCACCACATAAACAGAACCAAAAACAAAAACCACATGATTATCTCAACTGACGCAGAGAAGGCATTTGACAAAATTCAACAGCCCTTTATGCTAAAAACCCTCAATAAACTCGGTATTGATGGAACTTATCTCAAAGTAATAAAAGCTATTTATGACAAACCAACAGCCAATATCATACTGAATGGGCAAAAACTGGAAGTATTCCCTTTGAAATCCGGCACTAGACAAGGATGCCCTCTCTCACCACTCCTATTCAATATAGTACTGGAAGTTCTAGCCACAGCAATCAGGCAAGAAAAAGAAATAAAGGGTATTCAAACAGGAAAGGTGGAAGCCAAATTGTCTCTATTTGCAGACGACATGATAGTATACCTAGAAGACCCCATCGCCTCAGCCCTAAAACTCCTGAAACTGATAAGCAACTTCAGCAAAGTCTCAGGATATAAAATCAACGTGCAAAAATCACAAGCATTCGTCTACACCAATAACAGACTTAAAGAAAGCCAAATCAAGAACGAAGTGCCATTCACAATTGCTACAAAAAGAATAAAATACCTTGGAATACAACTCACAAGGAACGTAAGAGACCTCTTCAAGGAGAACTACAAACCACTGCTCAACAAAATCAGAGAGGACACAAACAGATGGAGAAACCTTCCATGTTCATGGTTAGGAAGAATTAATATCGTGAAAATGGCTATACTGCCCAAAGTAATTTACAGAATCAACGCTATCCCCATCAAGCTACCACTGACTTTCTTCACAGAACTAGAAAAAACCACCATGAACTTCATATGGAACCAAAAGAGAGCCCACATAGCCAAATCAATTCTAAGCAAAAAGAACACAGCGGGGGGCATCACACTACCGGATTTCAAACTATACTACAAGGCTACAGTAATCAAAACAGCATGGTACTGGTACCAAAACAGAGATATAGACCAATGGAACAAAACAGAGGCACTGGAGGCAACACAACATATCTACAACTATACAATCTTTGATAAACCTGACAAAAACAAGCAATGGGGCAAGGATTCCATGTTTAACAAATGGTGTTGGGAAAACTGGCTAGCCATGTGCAGAAAGCAGAAACTGGACCCCTTCCTGACACCTTACACTAAAATTAACTCCAGATGGATTAAAGACTTAAACATAAGACCTGGCACGACAAAAACCCTAGAAGGAAATCTAGGCAAAACTATCCAGGACATAGGAGTAGGCAAGGACTTCATGAACAAAACACCAAAAGCATTGGCAACAAAAGCCAAAATAGACAAATGGGACCTAATCAAACTCCACAGCTTCTGCACGGCAAAAGAAACAGTCACTGGCGTGAATCGGCAACCAACAGAATGGGAAAAAATCTTTGCAGTTTACCCATCTGACAAAGGGCTGATATCCAGAATTTACAAAGAACTCAAACGGATTTACAGGAAAAAAACAAACAAGCCCATTCAAAAGTGGGCAAAGGATATGAACAGACACTTTACGAAAGAAGACATATATGAGGCCAACAATCATATGAAAAAATGCTCATCGTCACTGGTCATCAGAGAGATGCAAATCGAAACCACGTTGAGATACCATCTCACGCCAGTTAGAATGGCGATCATTAAAAAATCTGGAGACAACAGATGCTGGAGAGGATGTGGAGAAAAAGGAACACTTTTACACTGTTGGTGGGAGTGTAAATTAGTCCAACCATTGTGGAAGACAGTATGGCGATTTCTTAAGGCCTTAGAAATAGAAATTCCATTTGATCCAGCAATCCCATTACTGGGTATATACCCAAAGGACTATAAATCATTCTACTATAAGGACACATGCACACGAATGTTTATTGCAGCACTGTTTACAATAGCAAAGACCTGGAATCAACCAAAATGCCCATTGATGATAGACTGGATTAGGAAAATGTGGCACATATACACCATGGAATATTATGCAGCAATCAGAAATGATGAGTTCATGTCATTTGTAGGGACACGGATGAATCTGGAGAACATCATTCTCAGCAAACTGACACAAGAACAGAAAATGAAACACCGCATATTCTCACTCATAGGCGGGTGATGAAAAATGAGAACACATGGACACAGAGAGGGGAGTACTAAACACTGGGGTCCATTGGGGAGAAAAGGGGAGGGCCAGTGGGAGGGGGAGGTGGGGAGGGATAGCTTGGGGAGAAATGCCAAATGTGGGTGAAGGGGTGAAAGCAAACAAAACACACTGCCATGTGTGTACCTATGTAACTGTATTGCATGCTCTGCACATGTACCCCAAAACCTAAAATGCAATAAAAAAAAAAAAGTTGGAAAGTTAAAAAAAAAAACAACTATTTTTTAGAAGTGTGAATTTCTACAACTGGAGGGCAATTAGGCAACATAAACATTGAAAATGGACATACTCTTTGACCCAGCAATTTCACTAGAAGAAATTTTTCCTACACATATACCTATATATTTATGCAAAGATTTATATATATGTAAGGTTTGTGTCAGCATTTTTAGAGCAGAATTATACTGAATATTCATGAATATGGCATTGAAGATGAACTGTGTTTCATCCATATCAAGGAAAATATTAAAGACATTAAAGAAAATGATGTGCTCAAGATATATTTATTTTATTAAATGAAATAAGACTGTAATCCTAGCATTTTGGGGGGGCTCAAGTGGGACTTAGGAGGCTGAGGCAAGAGGATCCGTTGAACCCAGGAGTTAGAGCTGCAGTCAGCTATGACTGTGTCACCGCACTTGAGCCTGGGTGACTTTGTCTCTTAAAAAGGAGAAGAAAAAGAAGGAAAGAAATAAGAGAGAAAAGTATCTAGACTATGCTTCCCTTTGTGAATAAAACATTAAAATTCATTTTAAAATCTATGCTAGATTAGTCTGAAAAGATACACAAGAGCCTGATAGAAGTGATTAACTGAGGGAATAAAAATGAGAGATGAGAGACAAGGATGAAGAGATAGTATGTTATACCTTCTTCTACCTTTTGAAGTTTGTATCATTTATAATGTATACTTACTTATAAAATCAATTAATCTAAGTGATTAAAATAAAATAAATGCAAAGGCCCTCCATCAAGGAGGCCTCATCCCTGCTCCTCCAATCTTTCCCATAATTGCTCTCTGGTCCATTCATCTGCACCTCTGTTAGACTGCATTTTTTAGTACCAAATGAACTCTGGCACATTCCTTGGTGTTCTGCATTTGTTAGGAATTTTCTCTCCTACCTGTAATAGTTCTTTTTTCTATAACCTACACGTTGAGACAAAATTTCAATATTAATCTCCCCAGGAACCCTCTCTGACCAAACTGATCCCCTCCATACATTCTCTTCCTTGAAAGGTTGACACCCAAACCTCAATAAGATATAAAATTATTTGAAATAAGTCATTGGCTCTTGATTCACATAAATTTGTCCTATCTTTGAAATCAGATTTTTAAGTTTCTTGAGAGGAGGAAGCCAACATGACTCAAAATCCTGGTATCCTTGACATCAGCCAGCTTAGGAATGAGCATACTGAATGCCTACCATATCAGTGGGGTAAAGGATGGGATACTGGATGAATGTTCAAAGATTTCGAGCCCAATAATTTTTTTCTCCACTTTTGCCTGTGACAATCCTCACCAGGGCAACACCTTCTAAGGATATTCAGAAATCATTGGACATTAGGGAAGTACTGCAATATTCACGGAGGTTAAGCAGGTAACATAAATGTATAAATTAATGGGCAGAGTATGGGAGTGAGGGGTCCTGAGGCTAAACTGGAAAACGTCTGCCCTGCTTTAAATGTTTCCAAAATCCAACTCAAACAAACAAGTAAAAAGCCTACAGGCAAACAGAGTACATCCAGAGATGAACAGATCCAACCACAAGCAGCAAGCTGTTTGCAACCCATAGCCAGAAAGTGCTACTAATTATCTCTACAGGCATTCTTCTCTCTGAGCCAGGCAGAATGCTGTAACAAAGACAGAGGCAGCTATAGAAAACCATGCTTTGGACAGAACTCCAGAAGTAAGCCACATTGATATGCCTCTGTAGATTGCAGCATTTACAATCTCTCCCCACCCAACTGTAAGCTTAAGGCCACACAGACACCTTGGCCTTTCCCTGCCACATCAACCATGGTCCCCTTCCTGCACCTCTGTTACTAGTCACCCGTTGCCTGAAACATCAAAGCTCTGCATTTCCAAGCCATAACCAGACTCCACCCTCCCTAAATTCATGTGTGCTTCTCAGGTATATTTCCAAAACAAGTGGGAGACTTAGTGGAGGTTCCTCTGGCCTAACCACTCCTTCTAATAAGGTACCCTGTGTGCCAAAGCACTCAGTTTTCTGAGGATGGGTGACCACAGAGCTGTGAAGGAGATAGCTGAGCCATCAGGCTGGTATAGGGGGTGGAGAGTGAAGACAGACTAGGAAATAGACACTGTTTTGGCACTTTCAGTCCCAGGCTCAAAAAACCCTTATCTACAGACTGAATCACCACATAAGCTTCTCTACTACATGTGCCTTATGAAACAGGAGGGCTGTGTGATACAGTCTGGTGGCCTAGTTCCATCCTCTGTGAGGTGGACATGACAAGGCCTAGCACTGGGAGTATTAGGCACCAGAACCCTGAATGCTGAGATACAGGGATGGCTGATCTCATGCAAATGAGGTTTAGACCATGTTGAGCCCTACTTTTATTCTGTGGGATGTTGGATATCCCTTATACACCTATGGATCCATCTTCATCATTATTCTACTTATCTGGCAAGTGAAAAGAAGCCACCATGAATTGCGTTTGGAAACTAAAAGGAGCTGCTGCCGGGTAGGGCAACACTATGATTCCAACTGAACTAATTAAGCCTCAGATAAGAAGCTTATAAGCTCCAGGGTCCTTCCTTATTTACCCCACTGCCCCTCTCCTCCAATTTTTATGCCATACCTTTAGTTACTTTTATATAGTATTTTCCTTCTCAGAGCCTAAAAGTAATTCCTTACCAGGTCTTCCCTGAACCATACTCTAATTGAAAAGCCAAGAAGCTTCCCATTTGACTTGAATAGAGACCTGGATGATATGGGATCTATCTCACTGGAACCCAGAATACCTCACAGTATGGGGAATTTTTTTGGTTGGTGTTCCTTTAAGATGTTTATAAACTGAAGTCTTTGAGTATTAGAACTACATACTCTTTGATCTGTACCATCCTTTCTCTTGCTTCATCCTCAGTATCCAGCAGGAATTCTCTGGGAATCAGATGGAAGGTACCGAGTTTGGAAAAACCTCCAAGTGAATCAGAAATAAGCAGAGAAGGAAAATGGGCTTAAAAGGTTGAATGGGCAAATAAAATCCAGGAGAGTGTATAAAATACAGATAGGTATATGGAAAGGGAGTGGAAAATGTAAGTTTTGTCTCATTTTGGACATGAAAAAGAAAATGGTGTCCAGCTTCACAGTCTAATGTTTTTGTCTTTTAAGCATCACCAAAAAGTCAGGCAAAGGGCTAGAGATGCAGCATCAACAGATAAAATCCCAATCTTTCCTCTGACTCCTTTCCAATGTGGGTGTTTCCCATGAATCCAGAGACCCTCTATAATCCCTGGAGCCAAGAGCCATGTGCTCTGCCACTGAAAGACTCCAATTCCCCAGACTGAAACTTCCATGGGTGGGAAATCATACCTTGGAAATATTTTTAAATTCTCTACATTATTCCCATGGGAATAAAGAATTAAGGAAATAACTCTGATGTCCTTAGCTGTGTCATTTACTAGTTTAAAAACCTGTGGAAGTCACTTCATCTCTCAGTCTTGTTAACCATAACATGGGCATCTGATGATCCTCTCATTCACAGTATGGTTGTTAAGGTCAAATAAGAATGGGCATAGGAGAACAAGTCATGATTCATTATACTGTGCACAGAAAGACCTTAGAGCATTTATAATTAGGGTTTTCAGTGTCTTCTTGCTGAGAGTGAAAGGCCTCCAACCTCCTACAGATACTCTGAAAACTCTACCATGTCACTGTTTACTATAACACTGTCTTCTGGTTCCTCAGCTAGGAGACTTTCTCAGGAAGAAGCTGAGAAGCCACAGGAGCTGCTCTCTGTCATGAAAAGGTAATCTATTGCTGTTCAGTCTCAAAACACCAGCCTGACCTGTGGTGATTTTTTTCGTGTAGTGGGGGACATGACTGAGGAGATGGAAAGTGTCTGGGAGGGAGACATACACAGTGGATGCTGGTTCACTAGTTGAGAGGGTTGCAAAGGCATAATCATCTCAGGAGGAAAGAGTCACCCAATATTGATTTGGGGTAAGGTCATAGTAGCTCTGGAATTCAAGCTTTTACTAGTATATTATTTATAAAAGACATTACATGAGGTTCTACTCAGCTATGAGATATGTTACCCAGTCAAGAGAATAGATTTTGCATGAGGAAGTCATCCATGTCACATTCTGTTTACAGATTTACTCTTTCATGAGCGAACTCAGCTGACCAAGATGAACCCTGCTGATATTACCTCCTTTGGTTCTATATTCAGGGAGTCCAGTTCTTGGCACAGCCTTAAGACAGGGGCCTATCATCTTATCCTCTTAAGATTTCTAGAGAATAAGATTGATTCCCAGGAGATGTTGGGTTAATTAGCAGGGATAGCTCATAGTCCCAGAATGCACAAATCCCATATGAATCTCATTTTCCACAGTTGGATGTACTGAATACTAGGCTTTGGGTTTCTTAGCCTCAAATGAGACTGTAAGACAAGTTCTACTTTGTGATATATTCCTGATTATGCCCCATCAGCTAACTGACTCTTCCACATGCTTGGTTCCTTTCTCCTAGTTCAGCTTCTCAACAAAGCCAACACAGGACCAAACTCAGTTCCCAGTCCTCTCTGAGGGCCATGCTCTTCTGTGGAATACCTGAGGCCTTGCCCAATGAGTCTTAAGCCCCAGCCCACCATACCTTACCAAATGACATTTTCTTAGGAAGAAAAGTAGAGTAGTAGACATGAAGGGGGTATAGGCTTCTAGACTGGCAGTACTAGGGAAGGGAAATGCCAACCCTAGCCCACACTCTTCCAAGAAGGCAGATGTCACTCTATCATTAATGTTTGCCATGTTTCCCTTTCCAGCCAGGGCTGGCTTCCTCCGGAGGGAAGTGTGTGGTGAATCCTGTGTGCAGATCCCTGTTGCCAAATTTGCAAAGCTGTGGCTCAGGAGATTCAGCAATTGCTGATGGGTGAGAAGAACCGGAAGTCCCCAACTTTATCGAGGAGCCCATCACAGGTCTCCTCTTGCCTAGAGATTTTGTCTGTGTCTAATATATCCTTTGAGAAGAGTCTAGAGCTCCATTCCAGACATACCAGAGAACTTTCACAGGCATCTGTAACCCCGACACTGTCACAATTAACAGATCAGAAATCTTTAACCCAGTCAGCTGCTGAGTCAACATATGCAGATGGCAGCCAAGATTATTGTGCTGATCACCTCCAGCTAGGGCAGGAATTTCAAATGCCAGATGTGCTACAGGGCCCAAACACAATGGCTTCTTCAATGGAGGAGCCAAGGGCTCCACTGAACCAGGAGGAGATGATGCACGACAACCCCAGCCATGTCCAGGGGAACCAAGGCCAGCATCACTTGAATTCCCAGGTTTCCTTGATGTCCCTGAACCCAGAAACCCTGAATACGATGCATCCAATGGCCATGCAAATGATCCTCTCAGCCCACCTGCCATTCCTCAGTCCTGAAGTCCAGAGGCTTCTTGAGGTATATGTTAAAAAATGGATGCATTTCCAGAGGTGGGGTCTCCCCAGATGTGTGGAGGAGTCCCTGAGGCAGCTTATGCCAAACCCACCATTATATTACCACCTTGGAAATGACCAGCCACTTTCTTTCAACCTGAATAACACTTCTCAGGTCTCTCTTCATAGATTTGAGATCATTTTCCACCAGACCTGGTGTTCATGTGTGGCTGGCCAGCCCATCCAGACCTTCTGGGTTTCTGAATGGTCCATTATGAACCCAGAACAAATACACTACTGTCTGCAAAGCCCAAACCCTGTGGCTCTAGCCTTGCCCTCTCCAGCCCTTAAAGCCCTAAGTGGCCCCCATGCACAGTCTGGAAGACAAGAAAATGACTCGGGGAGTGATCTGCATCAGAAATGCAGCCAGTTATTCTGTGGGATCCCTTCTCTGCACAGTGGGTCCATGGTTACCACTTTCATGGGCTCTCAAGGCCTCTCCAAGAATAAAAATGTCCCCAAGACCCCCTTGAAGGATCCTTTTCTCTTCAACAAGCTCTCCTTCCCCCAACTACTGCCTAAAACTCCACCCTAGTCAGCCCCACTCTCTTCTCCACTTTTCCCAAATTGGGTTTCTCCATCTGACCATCAACGAGCTCAGTCAATGTCCCATTTCTGACTCTGGCTGAGCATGAAGCCTTGGAGTGGCACCTGCTACAGAGGCAGCTCCAGCTTCAGTGGGGCTTGCCAGCTGTCCTCCAGAGGTCTCAGCACACCCAGTACCCGATGCAGCATGAGCCCTGTGGCAAAGCTCAGTCTCCTGAGACCATGACAACTTCCCAGCCAGGGGATTCCATCTCAGTCCTCACCAGGGAACTACTCTTCCTGGGGCATGCCCGGAACCTGCTGGAATTCCACATCCAGAAACAGTTGATTCACCATCGCTGGGGCCTGCCTCAGAAGATCCGGCAGTCCATCCAGTTGCTCCTTACATCCACTGACCAGCAGATTTGTCCTGCAGCAGCACAGCCCTAGCCAATGTGAGCATCTCCCAACCTGCAGCACTAGAGGCCAACGGGGCTTGTGATGTGCCAACACCCATTGTGGCTCCAGTGTCCATCCCCATGCCACACTTGTTAACCCAGGTCAAGGCAATACTGCAGAACCACATTGACTCCAAATGTGGACAGATCCACCAGGGCAAGATCCCTGCCTGTGTACATAGGTCCTGGGACTGCAGAATTTCTGGGGGCCTGGCAGTGGCTCCTTTTCCCTGCATTCCAGAAAGCCAGCTCCTGGAACTGCAGACAAGTGACCCTGACCTACATGACAAAGTTATGCCCTGGATGCCAACGGCCCTTGATCAGCAGCAACAGGCCTTACCATGTACTGCCACTGAACACCCTAAGCTACTCCGAGTCTTGTCCGTGGAAGCCATTGAGAAACTGGAGACAACTTTACGGCACAAGTATCTGGCCTTCCTGTCAGGGCTGCCTGCTCTGTATTATGTGGCACTCTCCAGTGCCCTGACCCAGCCAGTCACTAGCCAATCTGTCATCACAGAGATGGTGCCTGGGCCTATGGAGGTCCCAGCAGAGCTTCCGTCTCAGATGATTTCATTTGAAGATCATTGTATAAGTCTTGGGTCATGCCCTCAAGACAACAACAAGACTTATATAGATGTTGCAGAAGAGTTCCAGCCTGCAGTGCCAGTAAAAGAAACAATGGAGACACTGCCTCTAGAAAGCTGGACACATCCTGCTAGCCCCCACTCACTCCAGACACATATCTTGACCAAACTAAACTTCCACCTGAGAAAAAAGGTCCTAGAGATACAATTGGGAATTCCCATAAGAGCAAGGAAGTCCAGGGAACAAAGTGCTATTGTTCCTGAGAACATATTCACACAGGAGTCTCTTGAAAGTCTAAACCACCAAGGGGAGACATTGCTCCAGGAACTTCCCATCCCACAGGACACTCCTGCCCCCAATCCAGAACGGGTCCACCTTAAAGAACAGCTGGCCATTGAGTGGAAGGCAGTGCAGCAGAACCAAAAGCAATCTAATTCCAAAACAGTAGCCCAAGGTTCTGCCCACTGGGTCTCCAAGATCTCACAACCCAGTGGGGACATGACAGGGGCCCACATGCTTTGTGCTCAGGTGGAGGCCAATGTGAACAACCCCAGTCTGGAGGAACCCTGGGGCCCTGAGCCTCAAAGCCCTAGCAAGAGCAATGGCCCAGCCTATATCTCCATATTAGCAGGAAAGAGAGAGGACCCAGAAGAAACCAAAAAGCCAGGGACCATGGAGAAGGGGATGCAGGGTTTGGGCTCTCCTCAAGCAGAGAAGAAAGATGCCCTGCTGAAGACCAGAGTCCAAACAAGACACCCTGAGGCTCCTGGTGATGGAGCCATAGCTTTCGTCTTGCAGATCCCTGTCAACACAGCCCCCAGCATCACCCTCAGCTTAAGCTCCCAGAGATACCTACAGGAGTCCCTAGGGGGAAAGAATCTGAGAATGACCTGCAACACAGTCAAACAGAGCTAAATGTCATCCTTGAACCAGCGCAGATTCCTAAGAATGCCCAGACTGTGGTGCCCCAGGCTTCACAGGGTCAGCCTTTCCTGAGCCAAGCAACACAGGGTAAGCCTTTGCAGAGCCAAACTTTTCAAGGCCAGGTTTTGCATGGGCAGGTGATGCCAACCCATACTCACAAGAGGCCCAGCCTTTCAGAGTCTAGCTTGAGAAATAAAATTAAATCTTTTCTGCAGCATATTAACCCCAAGATGAAAGGCAAAGGGCATGAAGACTCCATGTACTCAGCTGCTGCAAAGGTGGCCAAAACCACAAAAGAAAATGTTGCAAAGAACCTGGCTCCAGCCAAGAACCCTCTGGGGAGAAGTAAGACAGAGAAGCCACCAAGGTACTCCAAGGTCCAATCTCATCCTGCTGAGAAGCTGGTGGGCCCAGCCTTCTTGGATTGTCCCCAGTCCCCAGACAATAAGCTCCAGCTATGCTCCAGACAACCTGGCCCTGCTTCAGCTCTGGGCCATCCCTGCCACTGCCCTTGGCACTGTCCTCAAGGAGCTTGTGCCACCCAACCAGGGCACCCAATCTAGCTCCTGACCATCAGTTCAGATAGAAACACTGGTCTGCTGGAGAACATGCAGAGCCATGAAAAAGAGTTTGCAAGCTCCCCAACTGCTGCATTCCTCCAAAGGACCAGTATTGTCATTTCCATGAATAAATGTGCAGGTGGGGCAGGGTGCCAGCAGAAATAGACTCTATATTTCTCAGCAATACATTGCCTGTCTGTTTCTCATCTCCACTGTATTGTGTTAAGGGAAAGTGTGAGGCAGGCTAAAATGTCCTTCCTGTCTAGAAAAAGAGCTTTAACCTACCATTCAGATGGTTCATTTTAGGGGGTGCCAAAGTATTCCCTCCCTGAGGAGGTGTTTTTTTTTTTTTTGTTTAGCAAAATACAATATCTAATATGACAGATGTCATTAGATACAGACGACAGACTCTCCTCTGACTACTCCTTTTTTATACTGGGAAGATCTTTCTAGAAAACCTATCTGGGGGTGATTGGGAAGATGGTGCTGTAGGACCAACTCAGGATTGCAGCTCCCAGTAAAACCGCAGACGGTGAGTGGACACCACATTTCCAGACAGATCTTTATTGCCCACAGACCAGGAGATTCCCAGGTGTAGGAGCCCCACGGGCAGCCAGCATGGCTGTTTGGGCCGGTGCGGTTGTTTGGGCCAGCATGGATGTTTGGGCTGGGGCCACAGCGCAGTGGCACTCTGTACAAAATACACTGGTTTGGTTGCCCTGTTAAACTGGCAATTGGAGATTTTGGAAGACAGATTAGCACATTCAACTGATTAAACGGGACTTAAACTGAAAGCCAGGTCAGGAGATTCCCAGGCAGCAACGTGGTTCCAGCAGGCACAGTGGGTCACAGCACGGGAAATCACACAGATCCCGGCGCCCTTTCAGCAGGTGACTGGAACACCTGGGAGAGAGTCAACTGTTCAACTTAAAAAAAAAAGGGAGGGGTCTCTCAGGCAGGGATCCAGGTGATTAGGCTCGGCGGGTCCCACCCCAACAAAAACCAACAAAACAGCAATTGGAAACGCTTGGGGTTGAGAGTTTCATGGCAAGTACAGCTGAACCCAGGACGGTACAGCTCGGAGAGGGAGGGGTGTCCGCCATTACTGAGGCACTCGACCCCTACGGAGGTACACTGCCATTGCTGACGCAGCCTGCCGTTGCCGAGGTAACCCGCCATAACAGAGAGAGCCCACCACTACAGAGGTGGGCCATCATCACCACGGCAGCTCTAACCACACCCATATAAACAGGACTATGGGGAATTACACACGGCAGCAGGGCAGAGCCCAGGACAGCAGGGCGGAGCCCACAGCAGCAGGGAGGAGCCCACAGCAGCTCAGCATAGCCTCTACAGGCAGGCAGTAATTAGACTGCCTCCTTGCTGGGCAGGACAGTGCAACAGATACTCATAAATAAAGCCCTAACTCCCCGGGACAGAGCACCTGAGGAAATAAAGGGGCTTTAGGAGTTCTGCTGTGGCAGATTTAAATGTACCTGCCTAGCAGCCCTGAATGAACTACAGAGCTCACAGCCCAGCACTAGAGCTCCTATAAAGTACAGACTGTCTCCTCAAGCAGCTCCCTGACCCTCGTATATCCAAAGAGTCACCTCACAAAAGACTGATCAGACTGACATTTGATGGGCATCATTCAGGGACAAAGATAGCAGAAGAAGAAACTGGTAGCAAACCTCACGACTCCACAGCTGCTACAGGTGTATCCCAGGCAAGCAGGGCCTGGAGTGGACCTCAGCAGTCCTACAGCAGAGGGGCCAGACTGTTAGAAGGAAAACTAAGAAACAGAAATACTTCATCATCAACAATCTGGACGTTCACTCGGAGACCCAAGCAGAAAATCAGCAACTACTCAGATGACAGGTGGATAAATCCACAAAGATGGGAAGAAACCAGCACAAAAAGGAGGAAAACACCCGAAACTGGAACACCTTGCCTTCTACAAGGAACCACCACTCCTCACCAGCAAGGGAACAAAACTGGACGAAGAATGAGTGTGATGAAATGACAGAATCAGACTTCAGAAGGTGGGTAATGAGAAAATTCTGTGAGCTAAAAGAACATGCTCTAACTCAATGCAAAGAAACTAAGAACCTTGAAAAAAGATTTGACGAAATGATTAACATGAATGGACAACTTAGAGAGGAATATGAGTGAAGTGATGGAGCTGAAAAACACAACACGAGAACTTCGCGAAGCATACACAAGTCTCAACAGCCAAATTGACCAAGCAAAAGAAAGAATATCAGAAGTCAAAGATCAACTATAAGAAATAAAACGAGAAGCCAATATTAGAGAAAAAAGTACAAAAAGGAATGAACAAAGTCTCCCAGAAATGTGGGACTATGTGAAGAGACTTAACCTACGTTTGATAGGTGTACCTGAATGTGACGAAGAGAATGAATCCAAGCTGGAAAATACCCTTCAGGATATTATCCAGGAAACTTTTCCCAACCTAGCAAGGCAGGCCAATATTCAAGTCCAGGAAATACAGAGAACACCACAAAGATATTCTGCAAGAAGATCAACCCCAAGGCACATAATCGTCAGACTCACCAGGGTTGAAATGAAGGAGAAAATGCTAAGCACAGCCAGAGAGAAAGGTCAGGTCACCAACAAAGGGAAGCCCATCAGTCTTACAGCAGATCTCTTGGCAGAAACCCTACAAGCCAGAAGAGAGTGGGGGCCAATATTCAACATCTTTAAAGAAAAGAAGTTTCAACCCTGAATTTCATATCCAGCCAAACTGAGCTTCATAAGTGAAAGAGAAATAAAATCCTTTGCAAACAAGCAAGTACTCAGAGATTTTGTCAACACCAGGCCTGCTTTACAAGAGCTCCTGAAAGAGGCACTACACATAGAAAGGAACAACCAGTACCAGCCACTCTGAAAACATACCAAATGGTAAAGAGCATCAACAAAATGAAGAATCTGCATCAACTAATGGGCAAAACAGCCAGCTAGCATCAAAATGGCAGTATCAAATTTACACATAACAATATTAACCCTAAATGTAAATGGGCTAAATGCCCCAATCAAAAGACACAGACTGGCAAATTGGATAAAAACCCAAAACCCATCTGTGTGCTGTATCCAGGAAACCCATCTCACATGCAAGGATACACAAAGGCTCAAAATAAAGGGATGGAGGAAGATTTACCAAGCAAATGGAGAGCAAAAAAAAAGCAGGAGTTGAGAGGAACGATCCAAGATGGCTGATCGCTAACATCCAGGGATTGCAGCTCTCAGTGAAAGTGCAGAGAACTAGAGGACGCCACACTTTCAGACAAATTCTGGTCACTCACGGAGCAGAAGATTCCCAGTGGAGGAGCCACACGGGTCGCCAGCATGACTCCTGAGGCCGGCTCAGCGGTTGTGACGGCACCTCTGTGTGGCACCTCTCGGCACAGAGTAAATGAGACTGGTTCCCCTTCTGACCGAGGTTTGGAGCCCCAGGAAGGCAGAGTCGCCTATTACAGACACAAGAAGGAAGCCAGACAGGAGAATCCTAGGCAGAAAAGCACCATCAATCTTAATGCGGCTGCTCTGGCCCTGGGAACGAACAACTTGGACGTCCACTCAAGAGACCTAATCTGAAAGCAGGTAATTTCAAAGACGACAGGAGGATAAATTTACAATCATGGGAAGAAACCAGCATAAAAAGGCTGAGAATACTCAAAATCAGAACGCCTCTCCCTCTAAAGATGATCACAGTTCCACATCAACAATGGAACAAGGCTTGATGGAGAACAAGCGCATTTCAATAACGGAGTCACGCTTCAGGGAATGGATAATAAGAAACTTCTGTGAGTTAAAAGAACACATTGTAGCCCAATGTAAAGAAACTAAGAACTTTGAAAAAAGGTTTGATGAAATCCTATTGAGAATAGACAACTTAGAGAGGAATATAAGTGAATTAATGGAACTGAAGAATACAATGCAGGAACCCCGAGAAGTATGCACAGGTTTAAACACTCAAATTGTTCAAGCAGAAGAAAGGATATCAGAGGTCAAAGTCCAACTTAATGAAATAAAACGAGAAGACGAGATTAGAGAAAAAAGGATAAAAAGGAATGAGCAAAGTCTCCAAGAAATGTGAGACTATGTGAAAAGACCAAATTTACGTTTGATAGGTGTACCTGAATGCGACGGAGAGAATGAATCCAAGCTGGAAAATACCCTTCAGGATATTATTCAGGAAAATTTTCCTAAACTAGCAAAGCAGGTCAATATTCAACCCCAGGTAATACAGAGAACACCACAAAGATATTCCTCAAGAAGAGCAACCCCAAGGCACATAATCGTTAGATTCACCAGGGTTGAAACGAAGGAGAAAATACTAAGGGCAGCCAGAGAGAAAGGTCAGGTTACCCACAAAGGCAAGCCTATCAGACTTACAGCAGATCTCTCAGCAGAATCTCTACAAGCCAGAAGAGAGTGGGGGCCAATATTCAACATCCTCAAAGAACAGAACCTTCAGCCCAGAATTTCATATCCAGCCAAACTAAGCTTCACAACTGAAGGAAAAATAAAATCTTTTATGAACAAGCCAGTACTCAGAGATTTTATTACCACCAGGCCTGCTTTACAAGAGCTTCTGAAAGAAGCATTACACACAGAAAGAAACAACCAGTATTAGCCTTTCTAAAAATATACCAAAAAGTAAAGAGCACCAACATAAAGAAGAATTTATATCAACGAATGGATAAAACAGCCAGTTAACATCAAATGGCAGTAATCCTAAATTTAAATTGACTAAATCCCCCAATCAAAAGACACAGTCAAAACCCAATGACATGTTCCATCCGGACCTGTTTCACATGCAAGGATACACAAAGACCCAAAACAAAGGGATGAAGAAAGATTTACCAATCCAATGGAGAGCAAAAATAAATAAATAAATAAATAAAAAGCAGGAGTTGCAATTCTTGTATCGGATAAAATAGATTTTAAAGCAGCAAAGATATAGTGGTAAAAGGATCAATGCAACAACAAGAGCTAACGATCCTAACACGCAGATACATAGAGACTTAGATTCACTGAGACAGAAAATCAATAAGGATATCAAGGACTCAAACTCAGATCTGGAACAAGTAAACTTAATAAATATTTATAGAGCTCTCCACTTCAAAGACACAAAATATACATTCTTGTCAATACCACATCACA